AAAATACTCCCCAACACCAAAACAAAACAAAAAGTGCTTAAAGTACTTTTCGCCAACGAAGGGACTGCTATGGGGAACTCCTTGTCCCCCTTTTTAGCTGATCTTTTCATGATCCGCTTTGAAACTTAGTTGCTCGGGGTATTTTCCGAGGATTGGGTTAAGATACTTGGACTATATCTTTGCTATTTTCGATCAAAACGCTTGCAGCATAGATGATTTTGTTCCCTTTATAAAATTCACATTTGAATTGGAAAAAGATGACCAGCTACCATTTTTAGAAACCCTAGTAATTAGATCTTACAATACTCTAGAGTTGGATATCTATAGAAAACCTACAAGCAGTGTACGTTACATCACTTCAGACTAGAACCACTGCACACAACATAAACAGGCTAGTTTTAACTTTTTTGTTTGTAGGTTGGTAAACTTTCCACTTATTAACAGTAGATACAAAAAAAAGCTCAGTTTTATAAAATACATTGCTATAGCAATTTAAAATATCTGTGGTGTAAAGAGTAATCTTAAAATGGTGTCAAAATCCAACACCAAGTGGTGTTAATATAAACACCATGAATTATGATTGAAAATGTTATATATACAGCAAACACCAAAACGGTGTTTATCTAAAAATATTTGAGAAGTGCACCTACACAGAAAAAAAGGAATTGTTCATTTAACTATATTAATTTAGTTGACCCATAAGTATTTATTTAAATCAACTGTGGGAAGGTTAATATAAACAAAGATTAGTTTGACGGTACTAAACCAGATAGTTATTTTTTTAATTGGTTAAATTAACCCAGAAAACTTTAGTGAAACAAACCCGCTGTATGGTTCAGTTTACTAAATATGTTGTTTGTAAAATAAGAGTTACTTCAACCTAAAGCACTCTGTTAAAACGATTAAAACAATTTGCCGTGCATTCCTGGTTGTAAAGTGTGTACCGATCGCGGCAAAGGCGGTGTGGATCACGTGATGTTCTTAAATCTCGCCTCTGTTGACTTACATGAAGAGTATATAAGCTCAGGTAGTCCTTTGCTTTGGTGTGACACTACAAGTTGTTCGATACTAAAGAGACCTTAAATAGGTGGAAACAGCTAACAATACTTGAAGTATTTTAAGTTGGTGGAACGCACTAAAAACATTATCTCTAGCGAGTTCAATGTTCTGGAATAATACCACTGGTAATATACTAGTAATGCGTCAAGGAACTTCCTGTTTTCTTTTTTTTTTCCTTTTTTTCTGTGTAGTATGATTTAATTTGATCAAAAACACATAATATTTAACAGTGAAAAGGAGTTCAATTTACACCATGTAAAATTTATTTTAATACTGTGTGAAAGTTAAATTTAAACTATTTTAGTATTTGAATTTACACTGCACATACGAAACATATTTAACACCATTTTGGTTTGTATCGATATAGACCATGTATGGTGTTAATTTGGTTGTTAAAATGGTCATGAAATTTTGAACAGTGTAGAGACAATGGTTTTGTACCCACCCTTGTAGATAAAATAGTAAATAAAATTAAATTTAAGTCTCGCCTTTCTATATGTTAACGACTTTTCGAACAGAGCCCACAAAAGTCAAGTTTATGACCTTTCCTTTTGAACCCCAGTAAATGATAATGGACCGGTACTCAACTCTAGTTTGTATAAATTAGTTTCTTAGTTTCTCTCGGTTTCTCTTTACGTGTTTACTGAAGTGGTTACGATCCACTGTTCAGTAAACTGCAGTTTACCCATGGTTTTGTTTACGCTTTAGTCAACCTTAGCTTATAATTGAGGACAGTAGAAGCCAAGGGATACAAGTGATATTTAAATGGTACATTCTACTTGGTATCCAAGAGATATAACTTAGACTTCAGTTCAGCTTGGACATCTTGAAAAACAACAAACAATTTTGACTCCAAATTACTTTAAACATGATTATCTCAAAACTAAACAAAATGTACTTATACGTCTTGGCTTCTAGGGTCCTCAATTAGTATAAATATGGTATCAGTTTGATTTAGTTACACTTCGCTTCTGAAGATGCCAACATTGTTGGCGAAAAATACTTTAAGCACTTTGTGTTTTATTTTGGTGTTGGGGAATATTTTTAATATTGTTTATCATATCACGAAAGTTGTCCTTTTTCAAAAAGATTTGTTTATTGATCTTAATTTGCAATCCATTCATGATTGTTTACAGTTTAAAAATTTTAAAAATAAAATGCCATATTTTATTTTTAGGGACTTCATACTATAGTAAACATGGCTACTCAATTAACCTTAAAGATTCCGTTCCCAAATACTCTTGCAAAGACAGTTGTAAGATTTTTGCACGATAAACATGTTTGGCTTAATTTTACTGCTATAGCCAGAGTTCAAGATGAAATGTCCAATTAATAAACAGTTTATTTGAAATAGGCTTTTACTTTATTTAAAAAAAGAGAAAAAGGTGAAATAATGAACCCATAAAAAGTATAGGAGGGTTACATAATGTGTGGTAAATTAGGTAACGTTCTCGATTGTGCTCGGAGAACGTTCGCGAAGCTTCAAATGAATTTTAATTAAGTTAAAAAAACACTAGCTTACAAAATCGAAAAAAAATCTGCCAACCATATCCCATGTACTTTGACCCACTAAACACGAAAACAAAACAAGCGTTTTTAAAATATAAATTTTCAATTGTTTTTTTTCAATTTTCGGAGGTGTTTTGTCGTTTTTTAGTATAGCTTGAAATCTAATTGATCGATTTGGTCAAGCCCTTAAATTAAAGGTATTTGAGCCCTCTAGTTTTAGCTAAAACTTTTTTTTACATACTTTTGATTTCGGATAAGTAATAACTTAAAAAATTCGTTTTTATGGCAAAAATTGATGTCGGAAATTTACATGTCGTCCTGGGATAGGTTTAAATCAAACAGATAACTCCAGTTTGATTTATTTTTCTTGAAGGTAACATTTTAGTGGAAGACAAAAATTCAGCTTTTTGACGATTTTATTTTTTATGTTTTATTCTTTAATGAAAACCTAATTTAAGTGCATGATTGGAATTTTTTGAGTTTTTTACGAACTTTTTTCACCGCAAATCTTATTAAAAATTTAAATTTGACATGACTCCGCAAACGTGAATTCTTTTGTTTCTCGTGTTGGCATAGTGACATTTTACTGCTATTTTTTTGATATTTCAACAAGGTATTTTTATCATGGTTTTATTTAGTTAATAAAAAGTGTAAAATGAGTAAAATAAGTAGAGAGTTCGAGTTCGTAATAACCCGGACAATCTGGGCGACGTAAGTGATGAGCACAAAGAATGACAACAGACTGGACTGGTCTTGCCATGTAAAGCAGCTATGCAAAAAGTTGTCTTCCACAGTTTTTATTCTAAGACAAATAAAAAAGTCTGTCTCGTTTAGCATCTTAAAAATGACATATTTCTCTCTATTTCATTCGCATTTAAGTTATGCGACGATTCTCTGGGGAAACTCCAGCTATGCTGTTGCAGCCTTCCGTCTTCAAAAGAGGGCTATTAGACTATTATGTAATGTGGGAAACAGAGAAAAATGTCAACAGCTTTTTATAAAAATAGGCGTAATGCCCTTACCAACACTTTACATATATTTGACATTATTAAAAATTCATAGAGAAAAGGATCAATTTACTTGCGGCGGAGATATTCACAGTCACGATACTAGGGGCAAATCACAAATCAGAATTCCAAAATATAGACTCTCCAAAGTGTCGAGAAACTCACTAAACATTAAATTATACAACCTATTACCCTCAAGATGCAAGGCTCTCAACTATATAAAATTTAAAGCAACCATAAAGGAAACCTTGCTCACTTACTGTTTTTATTCTGTAGACGAATATGTCATGAAAATGGGTCTTTCAGACTTTCATCAGCGTTTCTCTCTCAATTAAACTCTGTGATAATATGTATATGTAATGTGTATGCTGTAACTTGTATGTTGTATGCCTTATGTTATTTACATATTTATGTATATATGATATATTTATGTTATATTTATTTTATCTTGACTTGCCAAAAATGTTAAATGTAAACATAATGTGGCCAAATAAATGATTTGATTTGATTGATTTCACCAGCAAATGATATAATATATATATGAATATTATGAATTACGGCTTCTGGCCCAGAAGTTCTGGGATGCAGCCATGATTGGTCCCTCATACGAGAATCGGAATACGAAAGCAACAAAAAACAAAAAAGGAGCCAGAATTTTTTTAAACCTATAAATAAAACTTTCAATATCTTCAATATTTATTGTTTAATATTCAATATATAATATAATTACAATATTTAATTTTTAAAATAAAAATCAATGTTCAATATTAAATTTTATATATTTCAATAAAATAAAGAAAAAACGTAAAAATTCTCGAAAAACTAAATTTTGGTCTTCCACTGAAAAATTCATAACTTCGCCATTTATCCATGAATTTTTATCAACAGCAGCTTATTTTTTTCCTTTAAGAATAATCCATACGTAAAATTAATCAAACTGGACTTATCTTTTCGATTTCTATCTTTCCCAGAAAGATATGTAAATTTTCGACCTCGATTTTTGTAAAAAAGGACTTTTTCAACTCCATAAAATCGCCAGTATCGAACTACTGAGCCGATACCAAAACTATACAAGAGAAAGTTGTAGCAATTACATTTGATTTAAGTGCTTGTTTGGTCAAATCGAACAATTAGAACTCAAAGTATACTCTAAAACGTCAAAACACCTCAGAAAAAACAATTGAAATTTCATATCTCGAAAACGCTCTAATGAAAAAAACTTTAAGTGTGCTTTTGGCGTTTAGTGAGCCAAACTACACAAGAAAATAATAGTAAGACATGGTGGGCAAAATGGCTGTAAACTGGTGAAATGATAAATTATTGAGTAGGTTCAGTTATCATTACAGTAACAGTTCTCTCCGTGTACGTAAGGAAAACTAAAGTAATAATTTTTAATTTTTACTATAAAAATACAAAAAATGTACATCCCATTACTTAAAAATTAATATTTGTATCCAGCGTTGTTTTGAGCGTTTTTCCTTCCAGCAAATCCTTCAGATGGATCTGGTTTGTATTGACCATCATCTACAATACCTGCAGCTTCGTCAGCTGCGTTCTGCTCCAAAGCTTTGAGGATTTCAGCTGGCACTGGTGGAGCAGTTGGGATATGAGCACCTGTAACAATATGACAGTTTTTAATCATCAACTTTCTGCTATAAAACCCATGGTGAAAACATAGGATTTTTCATAAGGCATACCTTGTGGTTGGAAACCATTTTCATCAGCAACGTATTGAATGGAAAAAGTTTGTCCATCTGGAGCGGTGAAGGTGAAGGAACCTTGAGCTTCAATGGTTTCAGCTTCACTGCCTGCATTTTTCAAATTTCCTGATTCTTGTTGCTGGATATGGTTTTCGGTTTCAAAACTATACAACAATGATTAAGAAATTTAGTTAATTACTTGAGTTATTTTTCTGATCATTTGGACCCCTCCCTCCCCCTTGGTGAGATTTGGTAAGATGTGGTCCCTGATAGCACAGTTTATTCTAAGAATGATTTTTAAACCTTCCAGTGGGAATATTTTTAGGATCATGCTATATTTCTTCTAGTCATGTTCTAAGAATGTTTTTTAAACCTTCCAGTGAGAATATTCTTAGGATCATGCTATATTTCTTCTAGTCATGTTCTAAGAATGTTTTTTAAACCTTCCAGTGAGAATATTCTTAGGATTATGCTATATTTCTTCTAAAGAACATGCTTAAAAGAAATATAGCATATTAAGAATATTCTCACTGGCCTATAGGCAGGTTTTTAGAAGGTGCAAAGTTTAGTGGTAAAAATTAATCCACTCTAAACATATGCTTAGAATGTTGAGAAACTAATTGCTATAGAAAGTTAATTTAGGAATATTCCTGGAACATTCTGCATATTCAGTTCAGTTAGGAACCTATATAATAGTAAAATATACCATAATCTACGTATAAAGGTACCAATACTTAGTATTAAATACTAAGTAAAAAACACAACCCAAAATATTTTTTTATAGTTATTTGTCAAATTAAAACAATATTCGATAGCACAAATACTATTACTATAGGTATCTAAATTATCCGGCTTTTACATAAAATCTTCTATTCAACTTAAATACAATGAAAAATGTTTTTTTTGTGAAGAACTATTTGGTTTTTTTCTTTTATGAAGAATTATTTTATAAGGAAATATTTTTTTTTATATTTTATTTTATGTTAAAAATAAATATTTATTAATTTGTACACCGATTTTTTATTTCTGAATTAACATTTTTATGTATAATAATCCTAACTATCTTCAACTTTAATCTAATCTGTCTTATCCCACAAAATTTTCCAATTTTAGTTTTTATGTCATACAACTTATGATTTAGAGGTCAAATTGTTTATTTAATATTTTTAAATAAATATAAATTAATATGTCGCAAATTTTTTTAAGGGGACAACAAATACATTTCACTGTCATATTATGACAGTGAGGCGTATTTGTCGCCTCCTGAAGAATTTTACGAATGTAGAATCCAACATATTAGAACGTGGGTATCTGACATATTTGGAAATATTCTCAAAAGCTTCCCAGAAGCTCCATAAGAAACCTTCTAAGAACATTCCAAAAACGTATTCTTAAAATGTTCTTAGAATGCTTTTAAGGAAGGTTTTAAGAAGCTTCTAAGAATCTAATTGCATCATTAAAAGGGTATCTATTGAATGTTTTAAAAGTCCCTAAAAACATTCTTAGCAATAAGGGAAGGTTCTAAGAATATTCCATTATTCCCTATCCCTCACGTGAGATTCTAGCCATTAAACCCAAATAATAAAAATTGATTACCTACTTTATTTTGACAAATTTGAATTTGATACATATTCTTTAAACTCAAAAGTTGAGGTGAGATTTTAAATGATCCCCCCTCCCTTAACATGAGATTTTATAAGATTTTGCTAGACCCCTCCCCCCTATTTATATCTCACTTAATTAATGTCCCCTAACTGGTAGGGCAGACCTAGGTCAGCTGTGATCTTTTTTTGTTGGCTCAACAAATGTGTTGATGAAACTTTGACACCAATCCATGTTATGTAAAGATGTGTCAAAACATGTTTTGTACAAAATATTAACTTACTCATAATTGTACTGTCCATTTCCATTGTTTTCATTGTTGAATCTAAGAATGTTGATTGGAGCTGCAGTTGGTCCGTTGTAGGCTTGAGCTTGGTTAGCAGTTTTCAATGGAGCAGCTAAGAAGTTTCCGTTTCCGCCTGCTGTATTGGCACTGTTTGGTGGCAAATACACGTTCTCCAATTTGTCAGCTACGGCTGCGGCTACGAAAAGAATGGCTACGAACTGAAACAAAAAATCTTGCGATGAAATGTTTAATTTTTATTAATTATATTAAAATTACTTACGAATTTCATGATGTTTTTGTTGGTGCACACTAAAAGTGAATGATGCTAATGCGGGCCAAACTTTCGCTTTTATACGAGTATTTTGGTTGATGCTTCTTCATTTAAAGATGATACAAATTCAGTTCGGTTATTTCAAAAGTAATTCAAGGTAACCGACCTTAAAAATCTGTAAGTGAATTTATTGGAGTGTTTCTTCGTAAAGGTTATCTTGTTTAATAGTCTAATTAACGCAATGATGCGGCAAATATGAAAAAACACTTAAAGATAATCGACCTTATTAGCATTTAATGTATTCAATAACTTAAAGGGTTCCAGGGCAATATGAAATAATTAAGAAAATGTTTTTAAGTTAAATCCATCTACTTTCGTTTTGGGGGCTATTCTAAAGTTGCTAAAAAGGAATGTATAACAGTGTTTTGTATTTTTTTAAATATAAACTTTTATTATTTGTTCCACCCTATAGTTTATCAATTTAAGCAAAAAACTATTTTTTCTACTCTTACATTTAAAACTTACAAAAATTATTAATTAGAATTATTAAATATTTAACAAAATATTTTGCGATATAATGCTAGTACTAGGTGTGTTCAGAAAATATCGTGAATTTTCGTTTTTTGAAACAAATATTTATTTATTCGTCTACATTAATGTTGTCGCCTTCAAAATAGTCCCCATTGGATATTATGCACATGTGCCAGCTCTTCTTCCAATACTTGAAACACTTCTAAAACTCGATCTTTGGGATAGCCTTTAGTTCTCTCAGGGATGCGCTTTTAATCTCATCTATGCTTGCAAAACGACGGCCCTTTAAGGTTCTCTTTATTTTTGGGAATAGGAAAAAGTCAGACAGAGGCATGTCTGGCGAATATGGAGGCTGGGGCATCATTACAGTATTGTTTTTGGCCAAAAATGTTGTTCAAAATTTAACAATTTTAGAACAAATTTTGCTGCCACGCGTTTCATACCCAAAACATTCGAAAAAATTTCATGGGATGAGCCAATCGATATACCAACATCATCAGCGACTTCTCTGATGGTTTATAACCATTTCTTCCACTTTTTCCATGTTTTTATCTGTTGTTAATGCGCTTGTGCGTTCGGGGCGTTCGTCATCTTCAACGTCTTCACGGCCATCTTGGAAACTCTTATACCATTTGTTAACTCTTGTTTTACTTATAGCAGACTCACTATATTCCTTTGTTAACATTTCACAGAATTTATTTCATTTTTTAAGCAAAATTGGATACAAATTCTTTGATCCATTTCTTTTAACGAACGAAAAATTGCCGAGCTCATAAAACACGTCTAACCTTAGCGGCTGCCACAGACAAAGTAAACAATTAAAACAACTAAAGTTTTTATCATACTTCGGGGGCATATATACCAACATAATTAAGAAAATTTTATGACAACCGGTCCCTCCGAACCCGCGAAATTTAACAATTCCCGTTATTTTCTGAACACACCTCGTATGCAGGTAGTAATATTTAATTGTAAATCTATTATAGATTTTAAGCCGTCGGTCCGTTCCTACCCCTAACCCGCACAAGCCATTCAGTTGGCTTATGGGACATCTTAGTTTGGATGTAAGGGTGGAACTAAAAGAGCACTTTATAACTTTATAACTTTATTATTGTTGTGCACGCTTCCCACATCTAGAATTAGCAGTTTTTATTAAGCAACAGGTCGTATTGAGTTCTAATTAAGGCTAGGTTTTTAAAATACCGCTAAGTTTTCTTTAGTTAAATATTTCTGTTTTTTTTTTTAATAAATCCTAACGGTGTGCCTGAACGAAATTTAAGTCACATAAAAATGCCGCCAAAAACTGATTGCAGTTTCTTGTTCGGGACCCTTTGGAGACTTAAAAATGATATTTATTAAAATCCTAGCTGCTCCTCTTTTTGAAATTTTTTGAAAATTCATGATTTTTTTTTTAAATTTATGTTTATTTTAAAGTTTACCTTTGACAGAGTACACATTTGTACAACGATTTTTATAAAATTAGAGTTTATTAATGAGGAAAATTAAAGAATACTTTTTAATCTTGTTCACATCATTTGATATATACAGGGTGAGCCAAAAATCGCTTATTTTTAATAAAGCAAAAGCGTAAATTCATGATTTTGGCCTAACACGCAAAAAAGATTTATCCCCATTTTTTTTTTAGATATTTCTACGTTTATCAGGTTACAAAATGGCATTCTTATTAACCTTTTATAAAAAAATGGATTTAATAAAATTAAATAAAATAACGCTTAGAGAATATTTAAAATGTTGTTTAATTTAGGCTTTTTAGTAGTTTTCAATCAAAACTGGTTAGTTTTTTGATCGGCACTCTTTGGAGATTTAAAAACGATATTTACCGAAATTCTAAGTGCTTTTTTTAAATTTGTTAAAAAATCATTTTTTTTTAATTATTTGTTTATCGCAAAGTCTTCCTTTGCCAGAGTACACATTTGTACACCGATTTTTATTGATTGCAGTTTCTTATTCGGGACCCTTTGGTAACTTTAAAATGATATATACCAAAATCCTAGCTGCTCCTCTTTTCGAAATTTTTGAAAATTCTTAATTTTTTTTTGTTTATCTTACCTTTGACAAAGTACACATTTGTATTTTTATATTATTGGATTATATTGTTAACGAGAGACGAGAATACTGTTTTCATACTGAGCACATCATTAGATTTATACAGGGTTAGCCAAAAATCACTTTTTATATAGTAAAAAGCATAATGCACAAAAAAGATTTATCAATTTTTCTTATAATGTCTTAATACGAATCCCATTTTGTAGCCTGATAAACATAAAAATATCTAAAAAACATGGGTGGGTATATATCTTTTTTGCGTGTTATGCCAAAATCCTCAATTTGCGCTTTTGCTTTATTAAAAGAAGCGATTTTTGGCTAACCCTGTATATATTAAATGATGTGCACAGTATAAAAAAGTATTCTCCAAATCTCCTTAACAATATACTCCAATATTATAAAAATCGGTGTACAAATGTGTACTCTGTCAAAGGTAGACTTTAAGATAAACAAAAAATTAAAAAAAAATCATGAATTTTTTAAAAATTTCGAAAAGAGTAGCAGCTAGGATTTTGGTAAATATAATTTTTAAGTCACCAAAGGTGATAATGACAGGGTAAGCAATATTCAGGAACTTTTCAAATATCTTGGTACGAAACTAAGTGTCTATGCATATATGCATAAGTATAAGAATATATTCTGTTGGCATTGTATTTGTCTCAAAAACAATTGGAGTTGGAGGGTGTTTATTTCGATTGCTCTGATATTTTATTTGTTTTATATGTAGGTATATATATTTTTTTCTACTCCCACCTTTAAAACGCTCTTTATCGTACATGTTTTCATGACACTAAGTGACCTTTTAAATACACATTGACAAGTTGTGGCTTTATGGCGCTTTAGTCACGGGCTGAAGTTAGCAACAGGTTTTTAGTCACGGACTAAAGTTAGTTTTAAGTTAGTTGACAGTTGTCAAATGTCATACAAATGTTAAAATAAAGTGCCTTTCTTGTAAAATAATACTAAATGCGAAAATTATTTTATTATCTCAATACAAAAATACAAAAGTTGTAAATAGTTTCTCAACGCCAATATTTGAAAAGTTTATATGAACATTGTACTGACCTTTTAATTTCGCCGGCTGTAAACTACACTGTAAAGTGCTCATAAAACATTTTCTTTACTTTCACTGTGAAAAACTGTCAATTTTCAAGATACATTTCGATTTATAAAATTTATAATTCTGTTTATAAAATGTAAAAATATGACATTTGACAGTTTCCCCTGTTGTTTCTATACAAATTTTTGATTTAAATCATTTTAAGATAATAATAAGTATTTGTCGTAGAAAAAGTATAGTATGCACCTCGTTTATAAACTTTTATATACACTCATTAACTTAAGCACTCGCTCGCAAGCTCGCTCGTGCCTAAATTAAATGTATGTGTATAAAATGGCGTTTATCAAACTTGATACATAATATACTATTATCCATCCCTATAAATATATTTTTAAGTTCCAATGTATATTTAAGTTTTAAAAAACAAATTTATTTATTTCGAAATTTGGGTTTGAAATTTTCCTTGTTTTGTTTCTTTTTAGTTTATTTTTTAATATTTATAATAGTTTAGTAGGGCTACCGGCCATTTTAAAAATGTCAACGCGTCGCAGAATAATACCTCCCGGGAAATTTATTCGTTTCTAGACAAAATTAACCTTATGTAGCCTCACCCTCCTATACACCCACGAGCCTCCTCTGGTAAAGACATAAATCCGTCCAACATTATATACAACCCTTATACGAAGTAGTAATAGCTGCAGTAACTAGCTTGCTCAGATCTGAAGCGAACTCTAAGCTCGTCTATAATATAAGCGCCTGATGGATAATGTACTATTTTTTCTTTATAACAAAATTTTTGTACTGACAAATAAATATTTATACCAATTATCTAATTATTGCTTTAACCTTTAACAATGACCTAATTCTTATACTTATTATAAAATACCAAACTAAATAGTAAACACCACAGCACACAGTGCACGTATTTTAAATTAACTCTTAACCAGATAGTAAGATACAAAATACGCATAAATTAGTCTTTCTTTAATTATTTATATTACATAACACTAAGATACTATAGTATAGATCTATAGATCTCCAATTTATCAAACTTATAAAAGTTTAACTTATTCTAATATAAATACACATTAATAAATATTGTTTATGATGGCATTTTAATTTAAAAAATACATTAATTATAAAATTTGAACTAAATTATTTAAAAGATTAAATAAGTATTTTTTATAATAACATCCTTATGACCTAGACAAGTAATTTTAATTTAGTTATGCACGGTTTTAAAATACCACACGTATTACGTATGTTTAAATAATAATTAAATTGTATACTATAGTAATGGCAAAAAAAGACACATTAAATTGATCTAAAAATACTTCAAATTAGGAATATATGCTCTAAACCTTATTTTGTACTACTATACATAAATATTAATACTAATTATTTGAAAAAAATAAATAAATTGTAGGTACTATGCTCCACACCTCAAAGTCCCACCACGTGACCAAGTACGGAACGCAGTCTTTTGAAAATTTGGCATTTAAGGCTTTTCAGGTTATGTATCTGTCAAAGTATAGTCAATGAAAGAAATCATATTACCGCTTATGTTTAAGCGTTAAAAGTTAATAAATCTTTATAGTATCATAATAACATGGTTGGTTTAAGAATTTAGGAATATAAATACCTACTGCATTTAATGAAATTCCAAAGTGTAAGGTGCAATATAAGTGATATTTTTGTGCATTGGGTCTACATTTCTTAAATTTTATTAATCGAGACAAAAACTATAAAAGATCAGACAACAGTTTTGACGAACCACCACTGCTAGTAAACTTTCCAATTTCTCCATTAACTTTAAAAGAAATGGAAAAAGGTCTAGTTATTGTCCTGTTTCTTTTTTGGTGGTGTAATGTGGAATTTTAGTTTTAGGATAATTGAGTCATGGAGGTTTCGTTTAAGAAGAAATTCAGCGCGTAAATCATAGGAGGGGTTTGTTCTTCCTTCGCCTTAAGGTTTGATATTGCCCAGATAGCACACAACGTCTTGAAGATGTCTTTTGTATGTCTGTATTATGCCTGATATGTCTGCCTCTTTTCAATTCTTAAATAACTCGTAACTAAATGCAGATTGCAGACATCCGACGCCATTTTTGCTTCTTGTATGTTGAATTTGGCTGAATGCTTTTACTAATCGGGGCGATTTTTCTTTTTTATGTTCCCGTTTGACGTTCAACAACTCAAGTGACAAGTCAAAGCAGTGTGCAGAGTTGGTTTTCGATTTTTTTTTTGAGTTTGGGTTTGTTTTTGTGGTGTTTTCCGAAAAAATAATTGATAGCCAGAGGGATACCCTGGTCTCTGACCCTGATACACACCTATAATAAACTCAAGAAGGGCTTCAGACAGAAGGGATCTACTTGACAAGAAGTTTTGACTCTATTCTATCTACTTGACAAGAAGTTTTGACTCTATTGATTTGAATTATACGTTATATTTAGAAGTTTAAAAGCATTACCACAGAGGAGACTCTGTGTTCTACTCTGTGTTAGCTACATTTTAATTAGGTACTTAATACTTTAAAAATATTTTAGCGATGAGTATTTAACATCTTAAAGACGTCTTAACGACGTTTAGCAACAACTTTATAATGCCGAGTCCGACATCTTTAAGATGTCTCTGTGCTATCTGGGTGTATTCTTAAGTTTGAGGGTGTGGTCTTAAGGAGCTCAAAGAAACGGGTTAAAAAAGTCCAGTCTTGTTATGTGTTCCTTCCAACTTTAAGAGTAGTCTAGTGCAGTGGCGGCTGCTTGCTATCAGGGGAGTTCGAACTTCATGTAAACAAGAATCTTCCTAATATAAGAGGGCGCTGGTGGTCCGTTTGTTCTGAAACAATTGATTAATTTGTACCGAAACGCTACCAAAACAGCAGACGTCAGTACGCATCGACAATCAGCGCCGCTGGTGGTGAAAAAAAAAAGACTTAATTTAGAGGGCAGGTTTTGTCAATTTCCCCTATTAAGTTAGGGCTCCAGGCTCCATGGTATTATGATTCAAGCTTAAACGTGTTATAATATGGAAATTGTTTTTCGCTTAGGAAAAAAAACAATTTATTAATATCACAGATTTGTTTATTTTAATATAGATATGTACAGAAAGTATACACTAGTCAAATTTTTTTTATTTGAACCTATTTAATTAAGTTTAAATTTCATAAATTTGTCATGACATTTTTTTTTTAACTATGACTGTTATTTGCCAAAAACTTAAACTTAATAATGCTGTCAAAGTACAAATAATTTGCAAGTTGCATACCAAAGAACAATTTTTTTAAATATATTAAAGTACCTACATATTTTTATATGTATATCAGCCAATAACTTTACTTTAAATTCGGCTTACTATAGAAATATTTGAATTTAGATTAGTATTAAAAATATCCGAAGCCCATTGGACAGCATCATGAATAGTTGGAAATGTTCTTAATAAGGCCTTTTTTTCATCCAATAGGTTGCATTTAGACATCATTTCGTACACCTTATCTAAACATTAAAACCAAGTCAGTAGATGTTAATTTTAATATAAAAAAATAATACTACACTATAGTCTGAGGAAAAATGTTGATGTACTGAATCCAAATTAGATCTCACCCTTGTGGAATTTTTTTTCTGAGAAAGTTTTAATAAGAGTTTTTAAAGTCTTACTTTCTCTTAAAAAGTCTGAATAATACTTATTAAGTCGGAAAAAGTGAGAATAAGACTTATTAAGTCGGAAAAAGTCTGAATAGGTCTTAGTAAGTCAGACTAATAGCAAGATTTGGGAGTCTTCTAGAAGAGTTATTAAGACTTTTTAAGACTTAATAGGACTTTTAGCAGAAAAATGGTAGGTACCTATAGCGATTAAAATAAATATCCGGAATTATTCAGATATGTTGTATTTGGTTATTGCAAAAGAAAGCACAATGAAAAGGATTTATAAACACTGTTGTTATAATGCTTATAAAAACACGAAAGCAATGTTTACAATATAGGTAAACAAACTTTATTTTAATTGAACAGAATAAAACAGTTGGGAGATACGTTTGGTTTGTGTACATACAGATCCCTTGTTGATTAAGTACTAGGGTTTTAAAATTTTCGGAAAAATTGAGCCAGCGGAAAATACGGTTTTTTTCCGAAAAAAAAAAACGGAAAAATTGGGAAATTTTCATAAAAATTGACTTTTTCATTTTTAAATTTTAGGGTAAAACAAGTCAATTTTTCAAAAAAATTCCAAATTTTTAAGGATAATATCCGTACACTGATATCGAGAAAAAAATAATTTCCGGCGCTGATTAATAATAATTTTGTAATTTAACTTTATAAATCATTCATTATTTTGTAGTTGGATATTTTTAATGGACTTGTTTTTGCAAAAAAGACCCAACCAACAATATTTACAGTATTTAACGTTTACATTTATTTTCTTAAATCAATTTAATTTAATTCAATGTTAAGTTAATTTTTTTTTGTAAAAAAGGATTTTTTTAATTAAAATAATGTAAGTTATTAATTGCTACTTTTTTTCAAATATGTATATTTCCCAAAAAAGCCAATTTTCACAAGGCCTGGGAAAAAAACGGAAAAGAACAGTTTTTTCCGACACTTTAAAACCCTATTAAGTACATATACTAGGTGTGGTCAGAAAATATCGGGAATTTTCGTTTTTTGAAACAAATATTTATTTATTCGTCTACATTAATGTAGTCGCCTTCAAAATAGTCCCCATTGGATATTATGCACATGTGTCAGCTCTTCTTCCAATACTCGAAACACTTCTAAAACTCGATCTTTGGGATAGCCTTTAGTTCTTTCAGCGATGCGCTTTTAATGTCATCTATGCTTGCAAAACGATGGCCCTTTAAGGTTCTCTTTATTTTTGGGAATAGGAAAAAGTCAGACAGAGGCATGTCTGGCGAATATGGAGGCCGGGGCATCATTACAGTATTGTTTTTGGCCAAAAATGTTGTTCAAAATTTAACCATTTTGGAACAAATTTTGCTGCCACGAGTTTCATAACCAAAACATTCGAAAAAATTTCATGGGATGAGCCAATCGATATACCAACATCATCAGCGACTTCTCTGATGGTTTATAATCATTTCTTACACTTTTTCCATGTTTTTATCGGTTGTTAATGTGCTTGTGCGTTCGGGGCGTTCGTCATCTTCAACGTCTTCACGGCCATCTTGGAAACTCTTATACCACTTGTAAACTCTTGTTTTACTTATAGCAGACTTACTATAGGCCTTTGTTAACATTTCACAGAATTTATTTCATTTTTTAAGCAAAATTGGATACAAATTCTTTGATCCATTTTTTTTAACGAACGAAAATCGCCGAGCTCATAAAACACGTCTAACCTTAGCGGCTGCCACAGACAAAGTAAACAATGAAAACAGATAAAGTTTTATCATACTTCGGGGGCATGTATACCAACATAATAAAGAAAATTTTATGACAACCGGACCCTCCAAAGCCGCGAAATTTAACAATTCCCGTTATTTTCTGAACACACCTCGTATAAGGTATAATAACTATTCTTCGCGAACTCATACACAGATTATAAAACTCATAAAGCAAATATGGTTGATCTACGAACTGCTTTCATTGGTTCATGTGTTTTATACAGTGTTGCCGGATGAATGTAATAAAAGTTCCCGACCAAAAATTTAAAAATATGTACTAAAAAAACTAGTTATATTTTAAATTCACTAGCGCATTCGCCCTGTTTTAAAAAAATTAATTAAAGTAATAATAATTATATAAGTAAATAAAAATGTAACAGGATATAATAATAAAATAATTATGCATTTTAAGTAAACATACAATATTATTTACTGAAAATATCTTCAGTTGGTATTTTGATTAAAATTTGCAAAATATCCGATTTTACCCGCTTCAAAATTCTACCCGCAAACATGACGAAAATACCCGATTTACGAGTAAAATACCCGCAAACGGCAACACTTGGTAAGTAGTGACAGGAGAGCTATCTTGAAAACGCGGGAAGATGCCATCACATGACAGATCAGCTGTGCTCTAATTGGTCAGCTGAGAAAATTGATATTTTGTCTAAAAAGTGTTTGGAACAATGGTTAGATAAATATTTGCGTATAAAAAGAAACTATTAAAATAAAACAGTATACTGTATACAGTGGCAACAATAAAAGCAAGTCAAGCGCATCGTATGCAAAAAATTACAATTGTTATAATTATTAAACCTCACACATATTATATATGTAATTATGCAATAAACTTGGCTTGTTTGTGTTTTATTTTATAATAATCAAATACAACCTCTCTGAATAATTCCGGATATTTATTTTAATCGCTATAGTTAGGTTCCTACCATTTCTCTGCTAAAAGTCTTATTAACTCTTCTAAAAGACTCCCAAATCTTGCTATTATACTGACTATAGTCTGACTTACTAAGACTTATTCAGACTTTTTCTGACTTAATAAGTATTATTCAGACTTTTTAAGAGAAAGTAAGACTTTAAAAACTCATATTAAAATTTTTTCAGAGAAAAATTTCCACGAGGGCATAATTGCTCACTAGGGTGTTTCAAAAAAATCGACTTTTTCTTTTTCTTCAAATGGTCAGCAAATTCTTTTAGAGGATGTCAAAACAAACACCTCGTTAAAATTTGAGCTTTTAATTTGAAGATTTAGAGGTCGCGGATCGCAATTTTCTATTTCCCATTTAAATAACATAGGAAATTTTTTTTTTTAACTTTGGAATTTTATACGTCTATATCGAATCAACTTATGGCAAGGAACATCTTAGATTTTTATAGTAAATTTAACGCTCTATAAAAAATGTCTCTTATAATTTTTCTATAAATTGATTTCTTCCAGAGTTATTCGAGGCCAAAGTTTGATTTCCATCGAATTTTCTCGTTTTTTCAACTTTTAGCATCATGTAGTAAAAATATCACATATTTATATCTAAAACATAGGAAGTGTTGTAAAAAAACAAAAAAACGTCACTATTTTCCAAAGCCTACTACAAAGTTTTAATGAATATATGAGATGTGTATAATATGCAGAGTAATTTATATATAAATGCATTTATCTCGAAAATGGTGCATCTGAGCAATTCAAATCAAGAGTACCTATTTTTCGTAAAAAACTATAAATTCTCTTAATTTCATAAAAAAAATTAAATTATTAACCCAGAAAAAAGTTGGGGCTATTTTTGTAACTTTGCCCCCTCCAAATGTTACGCCTATGATTAAATTTTAACAGTTTTGATCTTAGATCTAGATTCAGCATGTCAAAATTACCAAAGTACCGAAAATTCATTTGTTCATGTTCAACCCTCTAGGAATAGTTTAAAAAAAATTATCCTCTTAGGCTCCTATTCAGGGGGCCGTAGCTCCTTTAGGGATCATTTTTTGATACATGTTTATTAAACAAAAAAAGTGTTATTTTTATACGAATAATGCACTGTTTAAGTTTGGCCCCCTAATTTCGGGACACCCGTATAATGATAATTGTACCATATATGTTAAAAAAACGCGAAAATTCGATTGAAATGAAACTTTGGCCTCGAATAACTCTGGAAGGAATCAATTTATAGAAAAATGATAGGAGACCTTTTTTGTAAAGCGTTAAATTTACTATAAAAATCTAAGATGTTCCTTGCCATAAGTTGATTCGATATAGACGTATAAAATTCCAAAGTTAAAAAAAAAATTTCCTATGTTATTTAAATGGGAAATAGAAAATTGCGATCCGCGACCTCTAAATCTTCAAATTAAAAGCTCAAATTTTGACGAGGTCTTTGTGTTGACATCCTCTGAAAGAATTGGCCGACCATTTGAAGAAAAAGAAAAAGTCGATTTTTTTGAAACACCCTATTGCTCACATCAGGTTTTTGGAAAGTTCTAGCCCAAAGGTATTTTTTACAAAAATTAAAAACATGAATTTTAGGTACCTGATGGTGCGGCTACGTAAATTGGAATGTCCAACTTTTTAAAACTTTCCACGACTCCTTTCAGCATGGAAACTCCTGAAGGGTCGATGTAACTTAAACACGAAAAATCCAAAATAATGCACCTTACATCGGTTGTAATTTTGTTTTGAATTCTTTCGATTTTAGCAACTTTGGGTTTTAAAATCGATTCTTCCTTCTAAAAAAAAACCACTGTCGAGGTTAAGCTAAACAAATAGTTTAACCAACTCACAATTTGGGCATATTTAGCCAATTTCGCTCGGTAAATGATTTCCTTTTGTGGGTTGATTTCAACTTTTCTAGCCAACTCTTCTTTAAATATACATTTGGTGGCAAAATTTATTCCTCCACTGTATTGGAATATTTTGATGCCAGAAATTTGTTCAGCCTAAAATGGTATTTAAAATGGTATTTAAAACATTAAGATTTGGTTAACAAAAAACTTACAGCCCTATATTTGCCACAGTCCAAGTACAAATCAGTTTTGGGAATGTGGCCCAGCAGACACGTGTAGGGTTTGAAATTGAGCACCAAGAGACTAAGCAGGGACATCAAAATACCAACAGCAAGTCCAATATCGATGCCCACAATCACGACGGTAAGGAATGTAACCAACCAAACCAAAGCGTCCATTTTGCTTAGTTTCCAGAAACTCGGAAGAGCGGTTACTTGCATCAGCATTCCTTTTAAGGCTACCACTATTACGCTGGCCAAAACGCTCTATAATGTTGTAATATAATAATACACTGACACTACTGACACCCTGTATAAAGAGTGATTAAAAGTATGGAAGGACAAACTACTGACATTTTAGGATTTAAATGGTAAAACAACAAAATCAGTGGGAGACTTTTTAAAATTAATTTTAAATGTTATTTATTCCCTTTTGTCATTTTTGCACATTTAAAAATAACAAATAATTTTAATTTAAATGATATACCATAAAAAAATTTGAACAAAAAAATCTTAACCATGTTTTATTAATACGTTGAAAACATTATTAAAAATATATATTAGGAAATTTTAAGTACCAAAATTGCCAATGAGACGGAACATGTGTAATGGACGGTATTTTATTTATGACGCCAGCCAGGCACATAAGTTTCATCGAATATATATTTTATCTTAATGTATACATATACTTTATATCAATATTAACATGATGCCAAAACATCTGTTTCATTTTAAAAGCACATTTTTCGTTAAAATGTCCTTCTATGCTGTTATGATGTTAGATGATACGTGCACGTAGCATGCTACTTTAATTATAGGCATCATTACTTTATGAAGTAATGATGCCCATAATTAAAGTGCACCCCTGAATTCTTCCTGAAAATATACAGGCTGGCCCAACGAAAACAAAACAGGGTAGTAAGCAACCTTATTTGAAAGGTCTTGTTCCACTGAGAATCATCACCATTTTTATTAAATAGTGTGTGAAAAAATCGTGAAGCAGATTTATTCAATGAACACCATCTGTATAGGCATGTGAATAGACCGGGATTTACGGCCCCACACAAATAGGGACCTGTCCGTATGAAGAGAGCCAAAGTCCTAGCATTTACTCCTGTGTTTCGTTTTTGTTGAGCCTCCTTGTATTATGGTTTTTCTTACCTTGGGAAGTGGCTCAAAAAATGGTCCAATCCATAGTAAAACCACGACCAAAATGCAACAGGAGACAACAGATGCAATTTGAGTTTTTCCTCCGACAGTTTGTTGAATCAGAGAACGTGATAAAGATGCTGTAAACGGCATGCAAGAGAAAAATGACCCGACCATATTACCAGAACCCTAAAACCACACACAATCAAATTATTTATTGAAAAAAGTCCTAAAAGAAACGCAAGAGCAAGTTACTTTATTGGTTTGCAACCCAAGTAACACTAATGCTCCTATTGTGATCTCCAAGGTCGTTATAAAACTATACAATAAAACTTTGAATAAAACTAAATTATTTTGAAGACAGCCTTAGGACCATCATAAAGTTTCTAGCCAAAAAGGGCCCATTCTAAAAGGGTTTAATTTTATATTCTTAAAAAGTTCTTCAAGGCAACTTTAAATTTTATGTATTAAAAGTTATTTGCTTTTATGTACTCATGTACTCTTACTATTTTTTTCAAAATGGATTGTTTTAAGACCAACTTGCTATTTAATCCTTTAAAAACAAATTATTTTTAAAATAGCCAATGTCGAGAGTATTATAAAACCAGTATAAGATCAATAGGGTATTAAGTGAAAATAGTTTTTTTTATTTTAATTTAAAGAGTAGGTACCTACTTTAAATTAGTTGCATAAAAACTTTTAGTTTATATTAATGTAACTTTTAAACCAATATCGTTTTACTGAACATATTAAAGCACTTTAACTAAATAAATCAAAAGCAACTCTTGTTCAAAATTTGCAAGGCTTTAAGTAAAAATCTTACCATGGCTAATAATTCCTGGTTTGCGTCAACTTCGTAATCCAATTTTTGAGCAAAAATTAGAGCCATCGATAATGTTATAGTATATGAGACAACAGCAATGGTAAAACCATCCACTACCACTGAAGTTATCAAGGAAAACTGGGGAACCTCGGGATAAGGCAACCTAAATAAATAGTTTATTAGTTGATTTTACCTTTAAAGTGTTATAAATAAAACATAAGCAATCATTTGACTTTAAGGTACGTCCATGATATACACAGTAAAAAAAATCAACTCTAAGCAACACTAATAAGAGTTCACACAGGTCCACACTAAATAGTGTTGTTTTATAACACTACAATTAGAGTTAATTTGAAGTGTAATTTTCCCCAAGTAAGCAAGTATGATTTAACACTATAGCACTGAGGATAAAGTAATTTTACACTGTATTAAAAAGTGTTAATTTACCTATCGTGTACTTCTACACTTCCTGGGTAAAATCCCACTTTTGTTCAGTGTAAATTAACACTACTTTGGAAAAGTTTTAATTTTAGAAAGGTACTTTTACTCTTTTAGTGCAAACTTCTAGTGTAAATTAACACTATTATTTGAGTAAAACCTATTGGTGGTAGTGAATAAAACGAAAAGGTAAATAAAGAGAAACATTTATTTGGAACACAAATCTATGACAATTATCAAAATCGGTGCCTTTTAAAATATAATTTTATATTTGAGTCGTATGGCTGGCTTAAGCAAAATGGTTCCTTAAAACGTAAAAGTTTTAGATCAATGCAATGTTTTACTGGCTGTCAACTTGTAAGCAATGAATTATCTTGAGAATTAATCAGTAGTCCATTTTTCTGTTATAAGAAACGTGCGGCTGTATGTCGGGGATTTACCACAAGTGTACAAATTTTCCATAATATTAATAAAAATGTAGGTATATATACCTACATTTTTATTAATATTATGGAAAATTTGTACACGTGTGGTAAATCCCCGACATACAGCCGCACGTTTCTTATATTTGTTATATTAACCTATAGGTTAATATAACAACCATTACGCTTGAAAATAAAAGGTAAATGAAGTGTGTATGTATTTATATTACGGCCATTCCAAGCCCATGGACAGGACACATCAAAAACATGTCTAAATATATTCTTGTTACTTCCTTAAGTTTACTTATTTTTTCTACGAGTATTTATGAGAAGTATTAGCCAAATTTGGCTAATACTTCTCATAAATACTCGTAGAAAAAATAAGTAAACTTAAGGAAGTAACAAGAATATATTTAGACATGTTTTTGATGTGTCCTGTCCATGGGCTTGGAATGGCCGATTATTAATGTTACAAGTACCTGACCTACTGCCGTAAATTATTGATATATAATATAGGTCGATATGGACATCCTTTTAACATATTGGTATTTATTGAGTATTAAGGCTTAAAGAAAAAGGAAGTATAATACTTACCAAAAAATAAGAATGTCCCCTTATGGATTCACCGTAATTAACTCTAACTGAACAAAAATGCCACACTTCCACAACGCGGTATCTCCGCACTGCGTAGGTAGATACCCCAGTAGCACAAAATATTGGTCATATATGGGGCGCATATATGCCCAATATTTTATCTGGGACCAATATTGGATTTATTTAGCCGATGTTGGCCCTATATTGGCATAAAATGGTTATTTAATATATCTTGCCAATGTTTATCCAATGTTGGTCCTATATTGGCATATCATTTTACGCCAATATATCATTAAACATATTTATCCAAGATCGGTCCAATATTGGCATATCAGTTTAAGCCAATATATCATTAAAAATATTTATCCAAGGTTGGTCCTATATTGGCATATCATTTTACGCCAATATATCATTAAAAATATTTATTCAAGATTGGCCCTATATTGGCGTAACATGATTATCCAATATATCATAGTCGATGTGTGTGCTATGTTGGCCCCATATTGTTTCAAATGTTTCAAAATTCGCCAATATGTAGGCAACCCATGCATACCTCTCGCCTCTGTAGCACAATAGATACTCCTATAAAGGTGGAATGCCTTAAGCTGTTAAGTTAGAATTTCTTACTAAGGCAAAATTACTGACCATACCGCTTCTGCTTGTAAGTTTTGAAGGGACACAGCTGGTCCTGTGGCCCACTCTGCCAAAAGTAAGCAGTGGGTCCCACTACTTACTTTTAGCAAAAGCTTTTTATAAAATTTAAAATTTAAGGTTAAACAAATATTGGGCCAATGCGGATTTTCAATATGGGTTATATAATGTAAAACAACTTCGGGCCAATATGGATTTCCAATATCGGTTATATAATGTCAAACAACTTCGGGCCAATGTTGGGTTTCAATATTGGACCAAGCTAGAAAAAATCTGACGAAAGATATGTTGGCCCAATATATAAAACGAATATTGGGCCAATATCTTTGTGCTACTGGGGTAGGTACCAACCAAACATTTTAAAATGCATTTCGGTCAGTTTTTTCAGTGTATTTTTCCACTATTTGTGTAATTTAACTTTAATTGTGATACAATGGGCACTAGTAGTGTAAAGAAAAAAGAGCTCTTAGTAACATCAAAACAGACAAAGAAATTGGCATGCACTGTAGTGTATATTTTGTCACTATTTAACACATTAAGGAGTAATAAACACTCGCATTAAGTTTTTCTACCCTTTTGATTTATTTTAATAATAAATAGTGTTAATGTACCAATGAATAATGTTCATATTCTTTAAATGTGTTTAATAAAGTTAATAAGCACTAAATGCTACCTAGTGTATTTTGTAGTGTAACTTTTACACTTACAAATCAACTCTAATATTTTTACCCATACACTAAAAAATTTACACGGGCAAAATTTTTTACTGTGTAAGAAAACTTGTACCTTGGGTACGTCTATTAACAAAATGCATTAGCTGAGGCGCGTTTTCCAGATTTTAAAACAAAAAGCTCTGGGCAAACAAATCTCAACTATGCCTAATTATACAGTTATCTTACCCACTCGGTATGTCTCCAACTGTGGTTATATTATAGGTATCTGGTAAAGAACCATATTTGGAAGCTAATGTGCCAATAATTACAGCTATTAACTCGATCGGAACGGGAAAGGACGACTTCTTGGCTACTAAAGGCTAATCAAAATATCAATTTTATTGAATAACTTTAAATAATGGTAAAAGGCACCTTTATGAGTTCGTTGTTTAAAGATGAAATTATTATGGTAACACTGGATATAATTATTGCAGCCATGTTGAAGTTTCCTATTTCTTCAAATATACTTTTTACTGTCTAAAATGTAATCAATTAACTCATTGAAATATACTAACGAATGATGTGTCATACTTGAACCACTACAAAATATCCCTTATATTTTGGAATCCTTAATCCCAATAAATCCTTTATTTGAGATACCAAAACATGCACAGCGGCCCCTGTAGTAAACCCACTTACTAAAGTTTCCGATAAGAGGGCGCTTACTGCCCCCAATCTTAGAAAAAACATAGCCAACTAAAAAATATACAAAATATATTTACAATAATAATAATAATAATAATATCCTACCTGAAATATAGAGACGACGAAAGTGACTGTGGTTGCAACTTGGATTGGACTATAATCATAAATAATTTTCTGCTTTAAAGGATCATCTGTCATATTTACTTCCAAATTTTTAACAAAATAAGAAGGATTGCTGTATTCTAAAACGGATTTTCCCGTCATCAAACAAACAACAGCAAAAGTCCCTGAAAAGATAAAGTTTTTTTCTACCACAATTGCTACCGAAATGTTTAATTTTACCCATCGAGTTATGTCTGGATGTTCCAAGGAAAAAATATGTCAAAACCGGGAAGAAGGCCATGTAAATTCCTACTACAGGTGGGACATTTCCAAGGAGAGCATATGCCATACCTAAATCAGATAAAAATCCTTGTTAGATTCCAAAATAGTTACCAGTTTTTATGCGAAAACATCTTTGCTGTGGCTCTGTCATGTATACAGGGTGATTCATTTAACTTGAAACTTTGAAATATCTTAGTTAGTATGCATTTTACGAAAAAATGTTTAAAATAAAAATTAAATGATCCGAGGGGGAAAATCAATCAAAACTAAAATTGGTCCTCATACTCTCCTCCTTATAAGGTAACTTTAAAATGTCCAATGGAACACTTTATTTTTTTATTGCATTGCATTCGACTAAAAATAGGTAGATTTTTTCATATTTGTAATAGATGGCGCTGTAATGAAAAAATTTTGTTTGATTTTTCTTCTGTATACGATTCTCCAATAATTTTTCTATAAAAATATCACTTTTTTGGTAATAATTTTCTTATTAAATTAAATCTGATTTTTTAAGTACCCACGATTTTTTAACAATATTTAAGTTTTCATTTGGTTTAAGTTATATACATTGTTTCATTCGGTGATATCAATTGCGCACCATGGTCACTTTTTACCTGCCAGCATTAAATTCTTTAATTTAAATTGTACTATTTTATACCTCATTTAAGGTAAAAAAAAACATTTTGTCATTTAATTAATTTACTCCTAATTGAGGTATAAAAAATATTTAATCAATTTAGTTCGAAGATTAATTTGCAAACAAAAAGACCTCCTTTCGTTAAGCAGTTATTCATAATCGATTTTTTAACAGTGAAAGAAAAAATAGAAATGATTTTGATTTATGGAGAAGCAGGCAGGAATCTTGATGATGCTGTTAATATCTACGCTCAGCGTTTTCCGGATAAAATTCGATCACGTACTTCATTTCAACGTACAGTCAAGCAGTTTACTTATAACGGGAGTGTTCAACCGAAAAAAAGAGTTCGTCGAGCAACAGTCACAGGTGGAAATATTGAAATTAATGTATTAGCAGCAACGGCCGCTAATCCTCATGCAAGCACACGATAATTATCTAGAGGTTTGGGAATATCCCAGAGCAGTGTTACTAGAACAACTATGTATTTTTTGGTGGTTTATTTTTTATCAAAGAAGTACCTCCACGTCCGTAACAATGCGTACGACAAGACAGCAAAAGCAACTACCGCCATATATTTTGGTTGAATGTAAGAGTCAATTTTTAGTGTATTTCCTTATTTCAATAAAGACTTTTATTATTATTATTATTATTATTATTATTATATGCATGTAATGACCATTCTGACCGCAAACTGCTTCTTCTTGTTGTTGTCTCTTCTAAGGTTCGTGAGTTATGAACGTCCCATCTCGGTGTAACCTGAGAATATGCAGGCTAAGCATTAAAGATAATAAAACAAATGTAAAACATAATAAGATTGTCTTTATGTAATTCACACTTGAACAATAAAGTCCCTGTGTAGAAAATATTTGTTTTTAAAACCCTATTCTTGGAACCGCAAACAAAAGTGGCGCAGTCGGTAGGCTAGTGAAGGGTTGATTTTAGTGAACTATAATCGGCAACGAAAAGTTCGTGTGCAAATCCCGTTCGTCTTACGATTAATTCACTAGTTAAAATCGTGTTCCCATAGTGGTGAAAAAACAGACTACACAGCTCAGGGTGAGAACAAAAATCGTCAACCCCTGAAACCCTGGTGGAGGACACACATCGCCGATACCAGTTAGAATAAGATAGAAGTAAGAAGACCTGGGGAAAGAACAAATTCTTCGGAACCTATAGGCAACTAGATGAGGATGAAAACAATATTAATAATACTGTAAGTGCTCAATCCATTTTTATTCCTTTTTCCCATTGTTGTTCGACTTAAATGGTAGCTTTTAAGTAATTTAATTTTATTTTGATGAGCGATTCTGATATAGAAAACTTAATTAAAAGTATTGAAACTGTAAAATTAGATTCAGAATCCGACTCAGAAATATTAATATTAAACAATAGCAACATAATGACTACAAATAACACTAATTATCAGTTAATTCGTTTATACTTGGAATCTATTCCAAATTATGAGGGAAACCCTCGAACATTAGGTATTTTTATAAACACTTGCGATAAATTTATTAGTACTTTTGCAACAGACAATTTAACCGATGGTTTAAACGATTTTCTTTTAAGAGCTGTAATTGCCAAATTGACAGGTAGAGCGCTCGACTTAATTGGCTCTCGTACAGAACTAACCAAATGGTCTGATATAAAAACAGTGCTTCAATTAAGTTTTGGAGACCAACGCGATATTGATTGTTTGATTCAGGATTTAATAACTCTTAGACCTGCGAAAAATGAAACCCCTTATAATTTCGGAATGCGTTGTCAAGACGCTAGAAGTCTTTTAGTCGCTAAATTAAATTCATTATCCGATAAAACTAACGCAGAAAAAATAATTCAAATAAAACAATTTGATGACTTAGCATTAAAAACTTACATACGTGGCCTAAGCGGACAAATACAGACCAACGTCAGACTTCGAAACCCTGATAGTCTAGAAAAAGCTATGAGTTTAGTTGTCGAAGAAGAAAATTTTTTGTATTCTACCCAAAAAATAAACTCTATTAATACTCAAACATCTTTTAGACCTATTAATCGAATGGCACCTGTAAGACCAAATAATTACCCAAGGCCTCAACCAAGACATTACCCACCAAATTCTTACATACCACACCCACGACCTAGTTTTCAACCTTTATTTCAAAATCAGAACCCTAATTCTCATATTTTTAGACAAAACTGGCAGCCAACTAACATTTTTCCCAACAAACCACAGCAACCATTTTCACATCAAAATCAATTCAATAAACCCCATCAATTCCATAACCAACGTTCTACACGAACTCATTTTAATTCAAGTAATTCTAATAGAAATTTTAAACCTGAACCAATGGACACTTCGTCCGGAAATACCGTGTTACATCCCCAATCAATTCAATTTAATTACCAAGAATATTTTGCTGAAAACGAAATTATTCCAGATGATTACGAATATATGCCATCAACATCTCATGATAATTATGCTTACCCAATCAATTTTAATGAAAATCAAAATTTTAATGAATACAATTATGATAACTCTATTCAAAACCAATCGCAGCCAGGTCAGGAATCCCAAAATCCGGAAACAGATCAAGAAATCCAAAACCCAGAAACACCAAATTTTTGCGAAACTTCCAACCCCAACAACCTAACGTGATACAGTTAAATAATATAAAAAATAATCTACCTCATATCTTTATTCCGGAACTAAACGCAAATTTTTTAATTGACACCGGAAGTAGTAGAAGTTTAATGAACCCAGATCTTGCCTATAAATTATATAAACCTTATATTTTTAAAGAAAATTTTCATATTCAATCAGCCCATAACATAAGTTATCATGACGAAGTTATAATTATACCAATTTTTAAATTATTTAATATAAACGAAACACATAAGTTTTATCTTTTTAAATTTAGTCAGAAATATGACGGCATCATCGGTGTAGATTTACTTAAACAGCTAAACGCGAATATTAACATGAAAACTAAGATGCTTACAACGCCTTATTCAATGATTCCCATAATATACGAGCTCGAACAAGAAACCAAAGAAAAACTACGATTAAATTACTATATTAATATCCCTGCACGTGTAGAACAAATAGTTAAAATTCCTGTAAATATGAATTATGATGGTATAGGAGTTTTAAATCATTTAAAATTTGGTAAAGGAACCGAAATGCCAAGCGCTTTAGTTAATGTAAAAAATAATTTTGCAACAACCACAATTATCAATAGTAACGAAAATCCCGTTGAAATTAATTTTAAAGAACCAGTAGAAATTGAACCTTTGAATATCTTAGAATTAAACTTTTTTGAAAAAACAGAACTTAATAAAAATTTTAATACTTTTAATAATTTTGACGACCTTTTAAAACAAAATTTAGCGAATATAAGATTTAAACACTGTAATAAAGAAGAATTTGATTACGAGATAATTTATAAAAAAGGAAAGTACAATAAAAATGCCGACGCATTATCACGCATATCAGTTAACGCAATAGAAACCGAATCAGTCATAAATAATCCGGGAGAAGTAAATCAAGAAATTTTTGAATATTTTAAAGAATTTTCTGAAAATCTAGACGATAAAGATAGTAATCAAAACCAATTGGAAAAAGAAAATCAAAAAGTTAAAATTTTACAAAACATTAAACTAGTACCCTCACAAACAATTAATACCCCCCATTCAAGTAGTGTTGAAACTGCAAATAACGGTATTCCCATATTAGATGATATAATTAATAATAAAACGAATCAAATTTTAATTAAACCCAATGTTCATAATAAACTTGACGTAGTACAAAAAATTCAGTTTCAAAAATTTAAAATTTTAAATGTAAAAATTCCTAAATATAATGAAGATCTCGTTCTTAAATTTCTTAAAGAATTTACATCCTCCGGCCTTACATTTTATTTATACTTTTTTGATAACACACTTTATGAAACATTTAATAAAGTTTATATTCAAGAATTTCCAACTAATATATTAAAACTTATTAAATGTACAAAATTAGTAAATTCGGTAATTGAAAAACATGAACAAATTATGATGATAAGATTTCAACACGAAGGTAAATGTAATCATCGAGGAATACTCGAAACAACCGAACACCTCAAAAGAAATTATTATTGGCCAAGTATGAAATCCGATATAACAACTTTTATAAATAATTGCGAGGTATGTCAACTCGCTAAATATAACCGAAAACCACCCTATGTTCCACTTGTTCTCACTGAAACCCCATCCAAACCATTCGAAATAGTCCACATAGATACGTTTAAGTTTGATAATAAAATATACCTAACAATTCTTGATAAATTTTCAAAATTCGGTCAAGCAATAGAAATAAGGGGCACAACTGCCATCGAGAGTTGCAACGCACTTCTTGATTTCTTCTCGTACTACGGATTACCATTAAAAATTATTATGGATAATGGTAGTGAGTTTAATAACGGGACTCTTAAGGAAATGCTTGAGTTACACAAAATTACTATTCATTTTACAACACCTTTTCATCATGAATCAAATTCACCAGTAGAACGATTTCACTCAACTCTTATTGAACACCTTAGACTTTTAAGAAATACACATAAAGACGACATAAATTTGATGAAGTATGCAATTATTGCTTACAACAGTTCAATTCACTCAGTAACAAATTTCACCCCCCACGAACTGGTTTTTGGCCATACCACCTTGCGTGATCCATCTGAATTAATAACAAAGGCGTTTTATTCGGACTACATATCCTCACATCATGATAAACTCAGAAATTTATATGAAAAAATTTCCCAAAAAAATGAAAAATATAAAAAACAAATAATCGATAAATTAAATATTCAAGGACCTGAACAAATTCATTTTAAAGAAAATGATATAGTTTATAAAAAAGTAGATAGGCGTAGTAAAAAGGAAAATAAACACAAAGGTCCTTATAAATTAATTAGGTTTTTAGAGAATAATAAAGTAAAAATAGAAAACTGTAAGACAAAAAAAGTGGAAACTGTACATATTAAGGAATTAAAAATACCTTCTGTTGTTGCAGATTCCTCTCCCACGTAAAGGCAGATGTAGAACCAATCAAATTTCATAAATTAACTTCAAACCCAGGGCTCTTACCCATAAAATTAGGCAAGGCACAATTACAAACCAACTCTTGGTCTTTTATTCAGATATATGATATTACAAATATAACTGACGAATTCAACTTCCTTTGCAACCACTATTTGTCAATAAAAAATATTTTTAATAATTCCACTCAAAATTCTAGTTTTCATCAAGACTATTTTAATTCATATCGCATTTTAGATTCAATTGAAACAAAAATTAAAAATCAGTTTATTCAAATTAATCCTTCAATAAATCCCAGAAATAGGAGAGGGCTTATAGATGGTCTAGGTTCAATCATTAAAGCAATTACCGGGAACCTTGATCAAAAAGATGCAGAAAAATATGATGAATCAATAGAAACACTTCTTAATAACCAACATCATTTTAAATCCTTAATCAACGATCAAATTAGCTTACTACAGATATCAATCAATAAATTTAAAAACAACTTTCAAATATTATCAAATAATCAAAATATATTAAAAAACAAAATAGAACAGCTCGAAACGCTTTTCAACGAAAACCGTTTAACGACTGCTGAAATCTTTCACTTTCATTTGCAAATAATATTTTCGCAATTGTCTATTATGTTTCAATTAATTTATGACATATTAGAAAAAATACAAATTGCAATTACATTTTCAAAATTAAATACATTACACAACTCAATTATAGATCCAAAGGACTTAATTAGTGAAATTTTAAATATAAATCAACATCTTTATAATCAAAAACTTCCATTTAAACCTGAATTAGAAAATATTCTTCTTTTCGAAAAAATTATAAAAATCAAAAGCTATGTAAAAAAAAGTAAGATCATTTTTATTTTGCAAGTGCCTTTAGTTGAACAACAAAATTTTAATATATTTCACCTATACCCATTTCCTGTATTTACAAATGATACCTATAAAATCATAATTCCTAAATCCAAATACCTTATTTTAAATGAGCACAACTTTGCATTACTGAACACAAACTGCGATATTGTAAAATCAGAAGAATACCTATGCCGAAATACTGATGTTCTAAACATTTCCGATAAGTCTCCATGTGAAGTTCAACTATTACAATATTTAAGTAATACCAGCAATTGCCAACAAGTTCCAGTAGCTGTATCCTCTCTTATGGTTCAAAATCTAGGAAACAACCAATGGATCATCATTAGCCCCACATCTTTAGTAGCTAGAATTAATTGTGCGGATAATAAGGACTTATTTCCAATAATCGGGAGTTACGTGTTAGAACTTAAAGACAAATGTGAAGTGCAAATAAACGATGTTGTTTTAAAAGGTTACTCCGATTCCAATGTAATTTTAAAAAATATTGATCTGCCCCATCTACAGTTTACAAAGACTTATAAAGAAAAAGACATTAAAGAAAATAAAATTCAACTTGAAAATTTAGATTTAGATGATATAAAAACTATTCATAGTGCATTAAATAAACAAAGACTTCAAATTAGTGATTTAGATAACGCTCCAATTCATTTCCATAGAGTTAGTGCATATACGGTTTTATTATATGTCCTAATCGCTATTTTTTGCATTTTTGCTTATATTTATATTAAAAAAAAGGGTATTCTACTCAGAGGATCATCGTCAACAATCCAAGGAAGTCGACCAACCACAGATGTAGAATTATCGAACTCTGGTATCAACCCCATAGTTCTCAAGTGAGGCCGAAGGAGTTATGAACGTCCCATCTCGGTGTAACCTGAGAATATGCAGGCTAAGCATTAAAGATAATAAAACAAATGTAAAACATAATAAGATTGTCTTTATGTAATTCACACTTGAACAATAAAGTCCCTGTGTAGAAAATATTTGTTTTTAAAACCCTATTCTTGGAACCGCAAACAAAAGTCGTGGCGTAAAAAATTAGTGGCTGTGCCAATAAGGCGGCCTCCGTAGGATTTCTTTGCAACCTCTTTGATTTGGATGTTAAATGAAAGGGTTTAAATAGTAAAAAACAGTACAAATTCTCAAAATTTACAAAATTTTCAGAATTTACAAAGTTTAAAAAAATTCCCTTGATTTTTAAAATTGTTTCGGCTTACAAGACAATTGTTTATAATAGGTATTACATAATAGTACACTTTAATATGATTTATGTATTATGTATTTCAAATATTTACTGACCTTGGGGTATGTGCATCACAGCTACTGTAAATCCAGAAGTTAAATCTGATAAAAAGTCGGTTTTCCATCTGTAATGTGCCAGCCAACCAATGGAAGGGATTAATTTGACGATTCCTTTTTTTAAGTTCAAATTTTCGTTACAGTTAAATTTTGAACCTAGAACGTTAAAAATAGTTTTAGGTACAGTTTTATGTTAATTATGTTATCTTATCTACTACTATTGCATAATATTAGGTTTTTTACGTGAATAATGATAAAAATTATAAATTCTCAGAAAAAATGAACTCATGAGTTCATTATTCACGTTGTTATGCATCAGTAAATTAGCCAATTTCAAAATGCACTGTGATTTGAACCAATCAGGTTTTAAATTGGGTAAAGGCGCCCAAGCAGCATTTTAAGTAAAAGCGTATACCCTCTATACGCTCTATAGAGCTTTGACGCAATATTACTTAATTTAAGTAAATATTTTGTTTAATTAACCTTAAAAATTTACTTTGAAGTAAAACTTTTTTTACAGTTATTTAATAAGTGTTATTTGTGTTATCTTTACCTATTTTAATAATAATAAGTTTCAACACTTTTAAGTATTAAGAGGGTCGTAATTTTTACGAAAGAAAATTGTGTATTTCACCTTTAAAGGTAATTTTAACGTAAGAATTTTTACTTAATGGTAAATGTTACTCATAAGTCATAATTTTACGATATTAAGACCACTTTATAACCGTAAATAATTCCTATTCGCCTGGTATTTTTTTAGGGTTATTAGTGGTAATAAATACTATTAATATTGACTAAACAAGGAAAAATAAGCTTAAAGTGAAAAATAAAACTATCTAAACATTTATATAATATTTTTTCATAAATATTTTTTTAAAATATAATAAGGAAAGTTTTAGTTATTAAAAAATGATTAAAACTAAAGATTTTATAAAATTTTGTTGAATTTTTACACAAGCAATAATTTTTCTCAAAACCGTAAAATATTTAGAGGGCATAAAATTTTTAAGATGTACCTATCGTGCCTATTTTTATCAATGTGCGTTTGAGTTTTAATGCAAAATATAATTAGTTTTGACAATTTAAGTTGTATTTTTATTATTACTTTTTAAGTACTATTTTGTAAAATATAAATTAAAAGAACAAAGAAATTACGAATGTCAATGTTTTAGAAAGAGAGAGCAAACAGTTAGTAATTATAGCGTTATTTTTACGTAAAATTGTGGTATTTATATTGTTTTTATTACGTTATTCTCTTAGTAGATCAAAATAGTATATTATGTATCAAGTTTTATAAACGCCATTTTAGTTACGAGTTTAATTAAGCACGAGAGAAGCTTGCGAGCGAGTGTTTAATAAAAACGAGTGTCTAGAGAAGTTTATAAACGAGTTGCATACTATACTTTATCTACGACGAACACAAAACAGAATTTAAAGCCAATTTTATTTGTTAAAATTTTGACATCTGTCAACTGTCACCCGAATTTAACCTCACTTTTTCCCAATTTATAATAAAGCTAACTTCAGCCCGTGACGTAAAATGTCGAAAAGCCACTGTTGTTAACTTCAGCCCGTCAATAAAACGCCATAAAGTTACAGCTCGTCAATGTAGGAGTAGATAAAGGTTATTATGTAGGTAAAATAACGATTAACCATTCCCCAAATTTGGTAATTTTTAGTATCTATACCGTTATAAAACCGTTTTGGTTAACCGTAAAAATACTTTAAAGTTGACTTAGTAGTAAATTTGTAGTTTTTAAACTTAAATTGTTGCTTGGGCGACTATAATAACCTTTAAAATTGTTAAAAAGTAAGGTTAGTCATTTGACAGATGTCAGATTTTATTTATTTATTTTACAAAATAACTTCTTATTAGAATAGATAAAGTATAGCATTACATTTGAGATTATACTTTTAAAACTTCTTTTTAAAACTTGTCAATTTTTTGTTTATTTATTATTTACAATAAAAGCATATTATATATTTGCATCTTCAGTGTTTACATTATTATTTTAATAAAAAAACGAAATTATGCACATAATCAATTAATTAATTATGCTTGAAAACAATTTTATAAATTATAACCTTTACTAAATCAGTAGATAATGATAAAATAATTATTTCGAAATTGGCAATAATAACAAAATACCACCCGATTTCATTGAACTATTGAAGGTGTCAATATTCAATTAATGATTGTGGAGTAATTTCTAATACTACAAATAAACATAAGATAGTAATTATACCGGCAATATTATAATTCAAATGTTTAATGATTAGTTTCCCGTAGTTATATTATTGACTAAATTAATAAAATGTGTAATGGATTTTTGAAGGACGGTATACATATAAAATGTATTATACATATACAGACTGTATATAATACAGTATGTCCTCAAATTTTTTTTCAAGCAAAGTAGGGCAAAATCATTCAATGCGACTTACTATGATGTGACGAAACGAATCGTTGCAACACTCGCCAAGAAAAAAATAAATTTTTAAAAATATCTATGCAAAGAAGTATTAAAGTTTCACTTATTACAACATAAAAAATGTTTTTTGAAATTTTGGATTTATCAATGCAATAAATGTAAAAACCTAATACCCTTAAATTTTTTGTGACAAATATGTACATACAGGGAGAGCAAAAAACGACAGGCAATACCAATACCGAAAACATTGTTGTCTTAAAACTTTTAAAAATATTTTGGCCGACTGTGTACAAAAAGAAATGTCATACCTCAGGACGCCATGGCAGTAAGTAAAAATCAAACAACTAGTTCTGTACCCCAGAGCCAAAATCTCTAGCAACCACTATAGGGTCTGTATACAAAATTCCACTCTAGCGGGATTATCTTCCGGCTACAGGAAAATGAAGGGGAAGTGTGAACGGGAATTCCGCGAGCAACTTCCCTAATGCTCTTCCTACTATTTGCGTCGAAGGCATTGCCGTTTTTCGCTGTTCTAATACGTTAAGGAGCACCTTGAATTTCATTACAACGCAGAACAACTAGAAGAAACGCGTAATTTTTAAGTTAATTAGTCTTCAAAATCTGTACTCAAGTGAACTGGCTGAATGACCATTGTGCCTCTAACTATTGGAAATGCGAAAAAAAAACTGTCAATTTGTAAACCGTTTTGCCACGTGATGTGAGATTATTTATCGTAGTATTGGTGAATTGCGTCACTTTTTTCGAAAAAATGATAATTATCACGTTATAAGTGTTTTCTTCTCACTTTTTCCACTGTGACACCCGAAACGAAAAATCATGTATCATAATCAGATTGATTATTGTAATAATATTTAGTAGAAGTAACGTTTTGGTGGTAATGATTTAAAATACTAACTAATATCTGATCATGAGACTAATTTGATATGTGTTTTTCTTGATTGAAAGGTTTCGGGTGTTACAACTTTTTTATATGTCGATATACGAGGTGTGTTCAGAAGATATCGGGAATTTTCGTTTTTTGAAAAAAAGATTTATTTTTTCGTCTACATTAACGTTGTCCCCTTCAAAATAGTCCCTATTGGATATTATGCACATGTGTCAGCTCTTCTTCCAATACTCGAAACACTTCTAAAACTCGATCTTTGGGATAGCCTTTAGTTCTTTCAGCGATGCGCTTTTAATGTCATTTATGCTTGCAAAACGACGGCCCTTTAAGGTTCTCTTTATTTTTGGGAATAGGAAAAAGTCAGACAGAGGCATGTCTGGCGAATATGGAGGCTGGGACATCATTATAGTATTGTTTTTGGACAAAAATGTTGTTCAAAATTTAACAATTTTGGAACAAATTTTTCTGCCTCGCGTTTCATACCCAAAACATTCGAAAAAATTTTATGAGATGAGCCAATCGATATACCAACATCATCAGCGACTTCTCTGATGGTTTATAACCATTTCTTCCACTTTTTTCATGTTTTTATCGGTTGTTAATGTGCTTGGGCGTTCGGGGCGCTCGTCATCTTCAACGTCTTCACGGCCATCTTGGAAACTCTTATACCACTTGTAAACTCTTGTTTTACTTATAGCAGACTCACTATAGGGCTTTGTTAACATTTCACAGAATTTATTTCATTTTTTAAGCAAAATTGGATACAAATTTCTTTGATCCATTTCGTTTAACGAACGAAAATCGCCGAGCTCATAAAACACGTCCAACCTTAGCGGCTGCCACAGACAAAGTAAACGATGAAAACAGCAAAAGTTTTTATCATACTTCGGGGGCATGTATACCAACATAATAAAGAATATTATTTTTATGACAACCGGACCCTTCGAACCCGCGAAATTTAACAATTACCGTTATTTTCTGAACACACCTCGTTTGTGTGTGTATTGCTTTTTTAAAGAGGTGTGACTGCTTTTCCGATGGTGTTGTCGAACCTACCGAAATTTCGTTTTTTCTACCGAAATGGCAACGGACCTACCAAAATACCTAATACTTAGATTTTCGTAAATAATTATGTTTCTACCGATTTTTGGCAATATTAACGATTTTACCCTTTTTGCCGATTTATCAATCGCACCCGAAGCTGCTTAATTAAGTTATGTTTAGGAAGAAATCATTCTATTTATGTTTATTTGTTACTACCTTATTTCGTAGTACCTAAAGACTAATAAAACACCGATTTTGTCCATATAAAGTGTTTAATTTTTGTACTTGTAACACCAGAAACAGAACAATGTTAACACCCGAAACAAAGTAAAATTTTATAAAAAAAAAATAGTAAAACGTTATTTGTGACAGTGATTTTGTGGTAGGTGGTTAGTAAATATTATACTTTTGGAGTCCTGTAATTTTTAGAAATGTTTATACCTAAGAAAATTCGCTAAATTTCAAATAAACCTAACAATGGTCAGGACATAGAGGCAGAATCGTGAAACACCCGAAACGCACACTTTTGACTTATAAAATCGTTATCCCATATGCTAAACTGTACTAATTTTACAATTTAGATAAACAACTAAAAAAAGAGAATAAGGCACTTTAGTTGCTAAAATGTTATTTCAAAATACATAAAAATTTAGACTTTGGTTGAACAAATGTAACACCCGAAACGATGGATTAATTTGCATTCTTTGACAAAACTAACCACGTTTTTTATTTTATTAATTAGTATATATAAATAAAAATTTGCTTTTATTATC